ACAGAGGATCCATTTAAAGACTGCAAGGTCCCCAAATCATCACCCCTCCTCTACTGTGCCGACAGTTGTTATTAGGTGTTTGTGCTAATATGCTAATAATGTGCATTATTCGGTCATGTCTTGTGGTTTATTCCGATCCAACTTTGCAAATCTAAACGACGCTGCCACGTCCTTTTTAGAGAGAAGATGCTTTTTCCAGGCACCCCTTCCAAACAAGCCATACTCGTCATGAACTTTAACCTTTAACCTGCCTTTTTGTATTTCTTTGATCATTGTACCTGACCTTACAAGATGTTTCTGATAGGAGGATTGTAGCATTGTAGGAACCTGAATGCTCCAGACTAGCATACTGCTTTTATAGTTTATGATCAGCTTATCGAGTGTAATTCATTAGAAATGCCTGGAAAAGGTGTACTTAGTTTGAAAATGTTCTTATTCACATGACTTCGTGACTTTCATGTATGCTATGAAACCAGTGCGCTCTGACGGTAAATGTGTATTCTATATTTGAGCCTCATTTTGAGGGTTGTGGTTTTCATTATTCAATTATCTTTCATTGTTTTGGTTGTCACACAGGGAGGAAATGCACCTGAAGATACTGAAAGCATTTGTTGGTCTGCATGAGTTCTCAGACCTGAATCTGGTGCAAGCACTGAGGTTTGTGAAAGGAAGCTTGGAGTGTTGCAGCAGTTTTACCTTTAGTCTTGCTTTCGTCCTTATTACAAAACCCTCCTCCTTCTTACCAGCCTGTGCGTGTTGTTTTTCTTTTTCTTCCACCTTTGCAGGCAGTTTCTGTGGAGCTTTCGTCTCCCAGGAGAAGCTCAAAAGATTGACAGGATGATGGAGGCGTTTGCAGCTCGCTACTGTGGCTGTAACCCCGGGGTCTTCCAATCCACAGGTACAAGCACAAAGAGGCTGATTCATTTTCCCACACACTCCAATTAAAACACACATTTTTGCTTCTGTAATTACAAAGTTCTATACAAGACTCATCATCTGCTAAGAAAAATCTGCTTTTCTTTCTGAAAAATAAACCCAAAGCCAGAGAAACATCTCAGGCCTCCCTGATTAGAGTTAACAGATTATCCAATAAAACCTTTTTTTTGGCCGAAGCAGCTGTCAGCTGGTGTTTATAATGTGTACACTCGAGAAGGCGATGAAGAAAGCTAAACTGTGGTTTTCTGTTACAGACACCTGCTACATCCTCTCTTTTGCCATCATCATGCTCAACACGAGTCTCCACAACCCCAACGTGAAAGACAAACCCACTCTGCAGCGATTTGTTTCCATGAACAGAGGCATCAACAACGGCGAGGACCTGCCCACTGAGCTGCTCACGGTCAGCAGGCTTCATTATTTCATGGCTTTGTCAGGCCCTGCCTGTACAGTCAGGTGATAGAAAACCCAAGGCGCTGATTGGTGACAGCATTATAGTTTACTCTAATATCCTTTAAATGTATTGCAGAAGTACTGCAATGCTCCTTGGTCAGGGTGGTCAACTGACTGCAGGGCATCTCTTTCATCTCCTTACGTAGCTTACCCTTACTTCTTTAGTGACACCAATAATCTCTGATGGGTTTCCCCAGTAGTACATCATTCTTGCGCAGTGAAATGCAGTTATACCTTAAATCACCCTTCGTGTTACAGTGTTACCTCGGGGTAAAGTTTATGTTATTTTCAGCACTGACTGGAAGC